GAGAAAATTAGTTCTGAGCACGACCTGAGCCAAGGTACTTCACTGCTAGTGTTTCAAGAATTTGTACTGTGCAGTATGGATGACTTGCACCTTCTAGGTTTCCCTATGCAACTGTAAGGAACGGCTGAAATTGCAGATAGTTCCATGCATGTCCCTGTCTGGTCCACCCACTTACAATCTTATATATTACTTGCATCTTTCCACACAGCCTGAGAAGCAACTGCCCTCTCTCCCAAACTCCCATGGAGATGAGGAATCTGATGCTATTTCATGCACAGGGTGAATGGCCAGGAGCAGTGAGAGAATTCTACTTTTATTTCTGAAACTACAAGGCATACCAAGCCCAAAAATCTCCATTTGGCTGTACAACCTTCCCTTCATTCTCCATGTGCCAAACTGGGCTCTCTCCAGGCCCTGTGTTTTCTAACACTTTATCCAACCGACTCCAAATTCCGAGCCTCTGGGTGTTAGTGATGTATAAATGATCACAACTGAGCACATTTCAAATACACAAGAATACCTTTTTAAGGGCATATAGTTTTGTCCTTCATTCTTCTAATGAAAAGGTTGGATGGGGGACAAACAATGTTAATGGAATGGTACAGCTCAGCTTTCTAATAGGTTAAAGGAAGGCGATCCAAATGTATTGGTTGACAGCAGCAATCATTACCCAACTGCGCCTGTTCATATTAAGGTGTACAAGCTAACACATTATGCAGCACAAAATAACCGTGACCCATCCTTGGGGATCCATACACCAATGTCTTGATTTTTGTATGTTTACAATCTGAGCTTTACTGTTACAGTTAAGGACACAAGCCTAAGTGCAGTTCTGTGCGAAGGGGAGGCTGATATGGCTCAACTTACTGCACAGCCACAGCATGCTGCTCCCTGTCTTCTACACTAGGCAGTTATTTGTATCTCTCTGCTTATTCAAAACAGTAATTTTATTCAGGTTCTGGATTTTGTTTATATGTCACTTTTATTCACTGCAATTGCTGAGCCCACATGGAGAACTCCTCTCCCTGAACAGCTTGCTTAATCTCCCTGTAGAAACAAGACCACCAGCGTGCAATGCACTGATCCTTTTCGAGGTTTTCCATATGCAAATTAGATTCACAGCATTTGACTGTACCAGAAACTGCCTGGGTAGGAACCACAATCACATTAGTGGGATCTTTCTTCTAACACATAGATGTAATCCAGAGCTGAAGTCTGGTTTGCAAACAATCCACATTCAACTGTTAACAATAGGTTAGGCACAGACAAATAAATGAAGTGTATTAGGACTTGCCATGTCTCCATACCACATTTTACATCAATTCTATTCTGTATTTATTACCCAAGGTCTTGGAGCACTAAAAGTCACATGCTGCAAACATGTGGCAAGCATTTTTATGCCTGGTTAGCAAAGACAACTATTATACTCTGAATATAAGACCAAGGTTCAACAAGAAGGACAGCATATATGCAAACAGTCAAAGAGCTCTTCAGAACAGACTTTCAGTCTCAGTGACATATGCTGAAATTTAAGAAGCCCAAGAAACTTCCCAGGGGTGACATTAAGTCTATTCTGAAGATGCCAATGCTATAAAGGTGCCACTTTTGGCAGTTGTATGTTGCAATGCTTAATCTGTTTGGAAGACCCAAATAAGTCTTCACTTAATCTCATTAACCATACTGACGTCTGATCCTTTGTGACTCCTGGTAATTCTTCCACTGCTTGGCAATATTTTACAGATGCAACTTTTTATACACTGTATAAAATTCTTAGCCCTTGAAAACTGAGGTAGATCCTAGAGATTTTAATGATTTTCTATGCTCCTCACAGTTCTCTAGTGCTCGTCTCGCAATTTACACTGCGGATTTTTCCTGAGATTTCTCTTGGCTCATCCAGTCCTAGAAAAGCAGGTGATATACACTATAGAGAAAACTAGCGCTAAGTCAGGAGTCCAGCAGATTTCACAGCAGCCTGTACAGGGATGGGATGGGATTACCCACCAGTGCCTATGTTTAGCTTATGAACTATGATCTTGAACTTGACCATGAAATGGTCGAGTTCAGGATCCTGCGTGGAGGAAGCAGGGCGATAAGCAGGATCAAAACCCTGGAGCTCAGGAGGGCTGACTTTGCCCTCTTCAAGGAGCTACTGGGAGGAATTCTACTTTTATTTCTGAAACTACAAGGCATACCAAGCCCAAAAATCTCCATTTGGCTGTACAACCTTCCCTTCATTCTCCATGTGCCAAACTGGGAGTTTGGCACATGGTCGAGTTCAGGATCCTGCGTGGAGGAAGCAGGGCGATAAGCAGGATCAAAACCCTGGACCTCAGGAGGGCTGACTTTGCCCTCTTCAAGGAGCTACTGGGAGGAATTCTACTTTTATTTCTGAAACTACAAGGCATACCAAGCCCAAAAATCTCCATTTGGCTGTACAACCTTCCCTTCATTCTCCATGTGCCAAACTGGGAGTTTGGCACATGGTCGAGTTCAGGATCCTGCGTGGAGGAAGCAGGGCGATAAGCAGGATCAAAACCCTGGACCTCAGGAGGGCTGACTTTGCCCTCTTCAAGGAGCTACTGGGAGGAATCCCGTGGGCCAGGGCTCTCGAAGGCAGGGGGGTCCATGAGTGCTGGTCGCTTTTTAAACAACACTTCTTCCATGCACAGGAGCAATGCATCCCCCTGAGAAAGAAATTTAGCAAAGGAGGAAGGAGACCTGCATGGTTAAACAAGGAGCTTCTAGCGGAGATCAGGCAGAAGAGAAAGGTCCATGGAATGTGGAAAGAGGGACAGGCCACTTGGGAAGAGTACAGAAACGTAGTGAGAGCATGCAGGGATGCGACGAGGAAGGCCAAGGCTCACCTGGAATTGAAGCTGGCAAGGGATGTCAAAAACAACAAGAAGGGCTTCTTCAACTACATCAGCAGCAAAAGGAAGGCTAGGGACAACGTGGGGCCGCTGCTGAATGAGGCGGGTGTCCTGGTGACGGAGGATGCGGAGAAGGCAGAGCTAATGAATGCCTTCTTGGCTTCAGTCTTCAGTGCTAAGACTGGCCCTCAGGAATCCCAGGCCCCGGAGGTAAGAGAAGAAGCCTACAAAGAGCACGACTTTCCCTTGGTCGAGGAGGACTGTGTGAGGGATCGCTTAAGCGATCTGGATGTCCACAAATCCATGGGCCCCGATGGAATGCACCCACGAGTGCTGAGGGAGCTGGCGGATGTCATTGCTGAGCCACTCTCCATCATCTTTGAGAGGTCCTGGAGGACAGGAGAGGTGCCCGAGGACTGGAGAAAGGCCAATGTCACTCCAATCTTCAAAAAGGGCAAGAAGGAGGACCCAGGGAACTACAGGCCGGTCAGCCTCACCTCCATCCCGAGTAAGGTGATGGAGCAGCTTATCCTGGAGGCCATCATCAAGCAAGTGGAAGAAAAGAAGGTTATCAGGAGTAGTCAGCATGGATTCACCAAGGGGAAATCATGCCTGACCAATCTGATAGCTTTCTACGATGACATGACTGGCTGGGTAGACGAAGGGAGAGCTGTGGATGTTATCTACCTTGACTTCAGCAAGGCTTTCGACACAGTCTCCCATGATATCCTCCTGGGGAAGCTGAGGAAGTGTGGGCTGGATGAGTGGTCGGTGAAGTGGATAGAGAACTGGCTGAATGGCAGAACTCAGAGGGTTGTCATCAGCGGCGCTGAGTCTAGTTGGAGGCTGGTGACAAGTGGTGTCCCTCAGGGGTCAGTACTGGGCCCAGTCTTGTTTAACTTCTTCATCAACGACCTGGATGAAGAGTTAGAATGTACCCTCAGCAAGTTTGCTGACGACACCAAACTGGGAGGTGTGGTAGATACACCAGAAGGCTGTGCTGCCATTCAGCGTGACCTGGATAGGCTGGAAAGCTGGGCAGAGAGGAACCTGATGAGGTTCAACAAGGGCAAGTGCAGGGTCCTGCACCTGGGGAGGAACAACCTCATGCACCAGTACAGGCTTGGGGTGGACCTGCTGGAGAGCAGAGAGGGACCTGGGTGTCCTGGTGGACGACAGGTTAACTATGAGCCAGCAGTGTGCCCTGGCTGCCAAGAAAGCCAACGGGATCCTGGG